AATATACTATATAAAATATAACTTTATACTACGGTTAATACTTAAATATAAATTAGAAATATTCTATCTTATTATTTCTCTAAACGTAAATCGATAAATATATATCTTATTAATTATAAGAGTTATTAATAAAATAAATAGAAATAGAACTACTTTATTAATATACTAAATACGTAGTGCGTCGCTTATTTAACGACGATATCTAATCTCGCGTTTAATTTATCTCGCTTCTAGATATTTCTAACTAATAAGTCTTATATACGATATTACGATAAGTAATTAAGTGTAGCTACGATAATATATAACGATTTTATTATAAATATATAGTCTAAGTAACTCTAGACTCTAGAGTCTTCTTTATATAATATCTTAATATTATTTTAATATTAATCTATATTCATTAATAATATAATAATAATTTTCTAAGTTACTTTATAATTCGAGATTCGATATTATAGAGCTAAATTAAATAAGTATATTAATTTTCGTCGTAAGATTCGATCGAGAATATTAAATAATTTATAATTATTATTTTAAATAATTTTATAATCGTAGTAAAATTAATATTTATAATTTAATTAATCTTTTTAAATAATTTATCGTAAATTAATTATAATATTACTAATAGATTATATTAGTATATAAATATATTATTTTATATTATTTTATTTATAGAACTTTTATAAGTAGATAGTTACGCTAATTTATACTAGAGTTAAGAAACTATTACTAAAAGTCTAACCTCGCTAAATTATATAGTAGTAGCTCTAATATAAAGATAATTAGAATTATATAATAAAAGAATTTCACTAGTAAAATAATAATAACTATAAATATAATAATTTAAAAGATTAAAGAGTAAAAAGATATCTCTATCGCTATATAAATTACTATATCGTAACTTTAATATTTTTTTTTTTTTTTTTTTTTTTTTTTTTTTTTTTTTTTTTTTTTTTTTTTTAGAATTATAGACTATCTAATCACTATTTAGAATAGAAGCTATACTAGATAAAGTAGACCCTAGAGCTAGCTTAGAAAAATTCAAAGATTAACTAATAAGTTAGTCTTAGAGAAGATCTATATCTCTCTCGTATCTTCCCTTTCCTTCCGTGTATGTACTCTAAACAGTTTAGCTGAGACTCTCCTAGTACTCTGCTTCGATTTTGAATGATGTCGACCGAATTTAGCGTCTAGATTAACTTTGGAATGGCGGTATCGTATGGTCATTATAATAGAATCTTCTTAAGGCCGACTATCCTTTCTTTATATGCTCTTCTCCGCATACATTAGCTTAGAGTCGACTCTCACTACGCCGGGCGCTCTCAGGGTGATCTCTTAGTGTACTAAGCTAGGTTGGCGTAGACTCGCGAGAACTAATGACGATAGGGTTAGAGAGTCTACTCCCCTCGGGTGATATAGTGAATGGAAGTCGTAGACGCTTATCCATAGGTGGTAGAGTAGCTATATATGGCGGTGGTGGAGTAGCTAAGTTCCGAACGATATAAGGGCGATTAGCGAAGACACCACCCTAAGAGATGTGAAGATTCTATAGGGCCTGGCTCTCGGCCGCGAGCTCCTAGTTAGTGCGGGGCGGGGAGAAGTTAAGTAGAAAGGTCTGAAGCTCCCTTATATTATAGGCGCGGAGAGCGAATGTAATTAGCGCTGGGTCCGACTCGTCCGTGTCAACATTGCTCTCCATAAATCGTCGTACGTACTCGATCGCGAAGATTCCGTAGTCTCTCACATTACGCTGGATTTGCTGGTTTCGAATGGTGCCGTCGCGAGGAGCCGCCGTAATACCGAGTCGGTCTCGGTTCGCGCGGAGGAGCTCCGCGACAACGCGAAATCCCTCGCGTAGGTTTTATTCGCGGGCCTACACATTCTAGTGAGAGTCCTAGACCTAAATTATGTTGGTGTGTAGGTCGTACGTAGCTAAGCCCCAGTGATTACCCTAGTGAAGAGGAATAATGAGGGGAGTGCTAGGCGTACTAAGTAGAGAGACGGCGGGACGTTGCTAGTTAGGGTATTGGGCATAATTAAAGGTACGCTAGAGCGTTAAGTGCGTCGAAGGGACAATAAAGGGCGCGGGCTAATTCTCTATTCTAGGGACCATAGGGCGGTTTTATACCATCATGATTAGGAGAGCCTCGATTAGCTAGTCACTAAGCTAGCTAGAACGTATCTCGTCGTAAATTATGGTCTCGAGATCTCGGGTCTCGAGGTTAACGGGGATAGTAGAGCTAGGCCGCTAAACGACGATGATTCTACCGCGATAGCGCTCACGTAGCTCGGCCACGATGCGGCGGACCCGACGCGGAAAACCTTGACGGCGGTCTTCGACTAGAGCTAGCTCGGCCGTAGTCGCGATTACGTCGAGGTAGACAGTACGCTGCTATCGCTCCGCCTTAGACCCCCCATTGGCGGCTCGCTCGACACCCTAGGCGAGTCGCTCGGCTAAGGTATAGAGCGAGGAGAGACTAATGTTATTCGCGATCTACTAAATAATATCGTTACTGAAGTTGGCGTACTAGCGCTGCGCGACGACCTAAGCCTTATTTATAACTAGCTTCCATAGGGCCTAGTCTATATTAGTGGGGTTATCGATCGGGATATTTCGGTATTAGATCTAGAATGGATTAATCTGGTCAGGGTGGATGATAGTATTCGCATAGGTATATAGCTGAGCAGCGAGCCGGATAATCTTAGACGGGTGGCGTTAATGGTCTGGTCGACGAGCAGGGGGGTGTTGAGTACCCTCACCGGTCGGTCGCTTAGCCGGGGGACCGGTCTGGGACGCAGCTGGCGAAGACCGGCCACCGGACGACGGAGCGGGCGTATACGGTCGCTTGGGGATCTTAACGGTGAGGCTAGGTTGCCTAGATGGAGTGGGTGTCGGGGAGCCTCGAGGGCTAGATATCCTCGTACCGCTGCGCGGCGAGGCCGATGGGGTTGGGCTGTGGAGAATGCGCTATCGCTGAGGGTCCTATATGTCGCTGTAGTAGTTAGTGAGCTGGTTGGACCGGTCTCGTAGATTATACGGCTAACTGGGAGCGGACGAGCTGAGAGTAGGCTGTATCTCCCCGGGCTGCGGTGATAGCTACTAAGGGGTGGTAGGGAGAGACTGCACGCCACTCTGGCTAGGCGCGAGCGGCAGTCGGGGCCCCGTAGCACCACCATTAAGGAGTCCACGGTCAATTTAGTCATTGTTACCAGGGGCAAGTGCATTACGTAGCTAGAAGAAGCCGCCCTAGCCTCGAACGTAGCCTCGAGCGGCAGCAGCCTGATTCATCGCCTGAGTGTACTGTGGGTCGAAGGGGTTTAGCGCCGTCACCTCGACTAGGCCGGCGTTGGTGACGTCCTGGGCGGTAATAGTATCATCACCCCGGGCATACCGAGCGTATGGCCCGACTCGAGCCCATCGCTGTAGGCGGAACGCATCCGCACGGCGGAGGAGAGTGAGCGGGTCGAAGTTATGACGATTCGTTTAGAGCGCCTCAAGGAAGTTAGTGTTGGCCTGGCCGAGCTGCTCAGCGAAGGTGCGGATGAAGTCGTCGTTGGCGTAGCCCGAGAGCCGTCGGTGTAGCTCCGCGAGGCGGTTCCGGCCACGGCGATAGACTTAGGCGCGTTCCCGAAGAGGCTGGAACTCCTGTAAGAACGTCTATCGCGCATTTCGGGTGTGGTTCTAGATCTGCCGATTGCCTTCGATATAGGTCTAGAGAACATCGGCCGCCTCGTTAAGCTACATATTAGTGTGGGTGAGGATGGCCTGGGCCTAGTTAAGGGTGCGCATACGGGTATAGATATTAAGCTAATCTAGATGGGCGATTAGGGCCTAAGTGTTTGTGAAGGTACGGCCGTTAATCTGGAGGGTAAAAGTACGCGTAGCTAGATTCTAAGAGACGAGCTGATTGGCGTTGTTCGACTCTATAGGGTCGGACCTAGGCTGAGACATAGTGACGGTCTCCCGGACGCGGTCCGGGGGAAGGTCACTATAAGAGATAATAATTAGCCTAGCTAAAGGGAGTGTAGAGAATCTACGATGAGAAGAATGAAGCTTACCAAGGTGGAAGTGACTGGCGTCGTCGCCGGCGTTGCTGGTGAAGAGGTTAAAGGTGAAGAAGAAAGTAAGTAAGTGGGAGTTCTAAAGAAAGTAATAGAGGAAGATAATAAAGGGGAAGAACGAAGAGAATAAAAGAGAAGAGAAGATTTATGTAGTTTTCAATAGAGGCTAGGGATAAGACTATTCACTATAGAAGTGACAGAGAGTAACCGATGTAAGATATATCACTATAGAAGTAATAGAGAGTAACCGATGTGAGATATATCACTATAGAAGTAATAGAGAGTAATCGATGTAAGATATATCACTATAGAAGTAATAGAGAGTGATCGATGTAAGATATATCACTATAGAAGTGACAGAGAGTAATAGATATAAGATATATTACTATAGAGTAATAGATATAACATATATTACTGTAGAAGTAATAGACGAAGATAGATATAAGAGAGGTTAATGTAAGAATAAAGGAAGGGTAAAGAAAGGATAAAGCGAGAGGCGAGTATAGGATACGTTACTTTACTCATTACATTACGTTTTATCCGTTACTTTATCTATTGTACGCTGTTTTATATCCTACTTTCCCTACTACTCTACCTATTACTTTGTCTATTATATTCTACTTTATCTACTGCTTTACCGTTATATTCTATTATATACGCGATTTTTATATTACTATATCTATAATTTTATTAGCTACGTTATATATTACGTACTAATCTACTTTACTATGTCGGTGTTAAGTGTTTATGAGGTTTCGGAATTCCCGAGGCGAAGGCTCGTTACCGCCGATTTAAGCTTACTCTCGATCTCAGCTCGAAATCGAATAAAGTGTTCCTCTTGGTCGTTGATTATCCCGACTCTAAGGCTCTACCCTTAGAAGATGATAATAAGTCGAACGTAGTTAAATTAAGAAAGGACTATCTTATAAAGCTTCATCATCACGCCGAAAAGATCCTTAGACGGAAACTCGACGACGGCATCGTGGACACCACCCCGCTTCGATGTACCATTACCGTCCCGGTCATCTAGAGTAACGCTACGATGTGCCCTTACCGCTAGGATAGAACACGATATTCGAATTATTTCGGAACTAGAAGCCGCAGTTATTAATACTCTTAATGCGATAGATCTCTATAATCTCTAAGTGAATAATAGCTTCATTCTTTACGATGTAGAAGGGGGCCCTATTAATCGGTTTCGACCCTAATCCTTCTATACTGTATTATCTACCCCTCTATATTTAATGAGGCTACGATATAACGCGAGATATCTAGCGATGGCGGGGAGCTATTTCTCTATTCGACTCCTGGATCGTTTCTTTAACTATGCCGATCACTTTATCTATTATAAATTATATTATATATTATATAGTATATCGCTTTACCTTCTACTCTATATACTATTTTATTCGCTACTTTATATATAGCCTAGTATAGCTGCTTTATACACTATCTTACCTATTATATATTGCTTCGCACGCTGTTTTATATATACCCCTATACACTATTTTATACATTACCTACTGTTTTCTATACTATTCTATACACTCTACGATATATTCTTCTATGTACTCTTCTATACGTAGCTCTATATATTATTCTCTAGTTTATTCTATCGGTTAATATCGGAGGTCACCGTACGAGTCATTCGATATCTCCTCTAGTAGGCATAGCTCGATCCCACCCCCGGACCTCTATATCGTACTTCGCGCGCCCATCGTTAACCACGAAGGCATCTAAACTTCAAACTTCCGAATATAGTCCGGGAGTTCGGGCGGCCCTACGTTCTTATGATACTCTTCTCGCGAGGGTATACGCGCGGAGACGCGGGTCGGCGTCTAATTAGACTACCGCCCTAGTTCGTTTCTAGCGTAGCTCGATCTTCTTAGTTATCTCTAGTACGCCGAGGACGATCTACAGGGCGATCGTTCCGCCACGGGAAGTGTTGCGACCGGACGAACTAGAGCATTCGAGTCCTATTCCCTGGGGAACGCTTCATCTACTAGTGTAGTCTATCTATTATCTCCTGGACGAGATCTAGTAGTCTAGGAGATGGTGAGAGGCGGAGGTGCGATATATCTAAATGCTCCTCGTGAAGTCGAGGCGGAGGATTCTATTCCTTAAGGAACGCTTTTAATCTAACCACGTAGATAGACTTTAAGTATAAGAGAATAAGAGTCTTCATCTATAATAAGAGCGCGGGAGTAAATAATGTCGATAGATTTAAGAGCGATATACTATCTCTAGTACGATTTTATTCTCTTACATCGCCTCGACGCTCTCGCGCGCGTTCGGCCGCTTTAAACTCATCCCATCGAGTTTAAATATTCTCCTGAAGGGTATCTAAGTCGATGTCATCAAAATCCCTACTTTCACTGGGAATTTCTATAATAACCTACCCGTCATTTCGTTCTATGACCCATCGACTATCGCCTTTATACCGAAAAAGTTCTCCGTACCGAATCGACTCACCCGCGACTACTTGACTCTTAACCTATTTATGGTGAACCGATACCCACATCCGCTGCCCAGCCTTATTATGTTGCCAGAACACCGCGCGATTTAAATACGGTATTAGCTAGTTCGTCATCACGAAGAGTTCTCTCAGCTCGAGTCGCCACTAAACCGTCCACTAATGCCCCAAAGACTACCTTAGGAGCCGAACAACCCGCTGATAAAGCATTCGGTACCCTTTATCGTTCTAATGTCGTCGTTCAAGCCCATCGTTAAACTCCCATAAGAAATCCACTAACTCATCTAGATCTTTAATTTTTTGCTTATTACCGTGCACAATATAAATAACGTCTTCGCCTAGTTACGAATAAGGGGGAGCGTCGGAGATTCTCTGCACCTCATCGTAATATAATAGAATCTCTCCGCGCAGCGCAGCGTCTTAGTACTCGGCCTTAATCCGTGAGCGAATCGAAGTAAAAACGTCGCGCCGGAAGCGACGAAGATAAATTCATAGTAAGTACTCTAGGAGAAAGTGTCGAATGAAGCGACATCTCCCGTATTCCTGGATTCAGTGGCTAATCCTCTCTATACGGAGAAAGTCCTCGTAGACATTCTTAATATCTCGCCACCGAGCACGGTACGCCGCCGCCATAGCGACGTTACCGAAAAGGGTGTGTTCGGTAATGAACGACTAAAACGTAAAATGTACCTAGTTAATCTTATCTAAAAACCATCCGTAGCCATAGCGTTGAAGCGTTCGGGAGAATTTAAGACCCTCGTAGCGCCGCCCTCCCGGTCGCTCTTTCGAATCCCACTAAAGAGCGGACTCACCGTGGAGAAGATAACTTCCGTAGCCGTACTTTACTAGACGTAGAAAATAGATCATTATTTTAGAATACTTCCACGATATAAAGTCGGGAGAAGATAAGCTAAATATATATTTAAACGCTGTCGTGAACTTATTAATATTACACTAAATGAACCGAAGAAAAGTAGAAGTGAGAATCCGCTAGAAAGGAGAAGAAGAGAAGTTATCCGTGACCGGGATCTCCTATTGCTACATAGCTCGGAGTCGATCGCGGATGCGATAAGTAAGAGCTAATGTAACACGGTGCTCTTCACGGACACTAAATGACCGTCTCATAGACTGTGTGAGAGCCTCGTAACACCGCGCTTTACTACTTCGATAGAAATGTAATAGGGTCTCGGGACGATGAGCCTCGGCCCCTTTAGTATATTGCCAGCTACGCCGTAAGCGCGGATCCAGCGTAAGGCTTTTAATGAAGGGGTCTTAGAAGGGGAACGTCTTGGCCGCATCGTAGAGTTCTTTCTACTTATTATAGTATTAACTATAAATAAGACCTTACTATCGACTTAAGATATCGGTCGCCGTCACTACGGTCATACTCACCGCATTACGGAGAAGGGCGGTATAGTATCGATTCCGTAAGGAAGGGCGGGCAGAAGAGCCGTGTAGTGCCCACTAATATTACGAGTCGTGATAACAGGGACGCTAAAGATAGACCTCCGGCACGACCTCCCTCACCTCTTAGTTAGGTAGGAAGCTAGATGGCGGGCAGAATTTCTTACCCCAGTTAATCTAAACTCGCTCATTAACTAAGAATCGTCGGTCGAAGGCTAATTCCTAAGGAGTGAAGAAGGCATCCTAGGCGGTAGCAAGTATCGGTTTAAACGTTTACCCTTTTAAGTTTTTAACGTTGAAGAAGAGTTATGGGCTACGGAAATCTTCGAGTCCCGAAGCTATACTACGTTAAACGATTCCGTTCTAGATAGCTTCGAGGTGATCGGCTTATAGGAAGTACTAAAGAAGCTGTTGACGCCCTCTACTATTAAGTCGGGCGCGAGTCTCCGCGTATAGAGCGAGACTATTAAGTTTAGCAAGGCGAGAGATGGCGGGATAACCCTGGGTGAGGGTGAAAGAGGTCCATTCATAAATCGCGGGTAAGATCACCTAATCGATTCAGCGGGTTATATCATTCTAGCTGAGATAGTTATTAGATCTAGATAGCGTACGTAAATAGGAAGGGAAGAAGACCAGGAGCTAAGTATCTTCAAAATAACCGACGTAACCAAATTCATAATGAACCACTTCGTGTAGCCGTACTTTACGCACACCATACTAAGTTAGAACT